CTTCTTAGGAACCATGACGACGTTAGCGAGCCACTCGGAGTGGAATATCTCTCGGATAAATCCTGCCGCCAATAGTCGAGCCACTTCTTCACCGATGGCCTTTCTCTTCTGGACGGCGGACCGCCGAAGATGTTCTTTTACTGGCTTTGCAGACTTGTCGACTCTTAGGCGATGCTCAGCCAGTCCCCTGGGAACACCTGGCATGTCAGCGGGCTTCCATGCAAAAATGTCCCAGTTCTCACGGAGGAACTGGATGAGCGCTTCTTCCTATTTTGGGTCGAGTGTTGTGGAGATGCGGGTCGGAGCTGCTTCGGGGTCGGTCGGGTGGATGTGAACAGGCTTCGTCTCACCGGACGACTGGAATGCAGATTCTGTGGCGGGCTTCTTGGATCGCAACAAGTCACTCGGATCTGCGTTTTGCTTGTACTCTTCGAACTCGACCGCTGTCACTTGGGAATCGGCAATTTTGGAGCCCTTCTGAAAGCACTCCTCTGCCTTTTTCCTATCTCCGGTGACAGTGATCACACCTTTGGGACCGGGCATTTTCAATTTGAGGTACACGTAACATGGTCGAGCCATGAACCGTGCATAGGCTGGCCTCCCCAAAATGGCATGATATGCACTTTGAAAATCCACGACCTCAAATGTCAACTTTTCTTTGCGGAAATGCTTTGAATCGCCAAATACTACGTCCAAAGCTATCTGGCCGAGAGACTCAGCCTTCTTCCCTGGTATAACTCCATGGAAGCTCATGTTACTCGTGCTCAATCGGGACATCGGAATGCCCATACCTTTCAGCGTGTCTGCATATAACAGATTCAGCCCACTTCCACCGTCCATCAGCACCTTTGTCAGTCGAGTGCCTTCGACAACTGGATCGACCACCAACGCTTGCCTCCCAGGGGTGGCAATATGAGTCGGGTGATCAGATTGGTCGAATGTGATGGGTGTTTGAGACCACTTCAGATAATTTGCCTTCGCTGGAGCAATCATGTTAACCTCTCGGTTAATTACTTTCAGTCGACTTCTGCTTTCCACATCTGCGAAGATCATCAGAGTGGAGTTGATATGCGGGTATCCTCCCTCACTGTCCTCTTTGTCTTCGGTTTTGTCCGACTCCTTCTCCTTGTCCTTAGACTGTTTTCCCTGAAACTGCTGGATCAGGAGTCGACATTGGCGAGTGGTGTGCTTTGGGTAAATGATATTGCCCTCTTCATCTTTCTTCGTGTGAATATGACACGGCATATCCATCACGTCGTTCCCTTCTTTATCCTTCACCCTCTTGGGGTTCCAGGATCCTTTTGGTTTCCCCTTAGACTTTCCTTGAGTCACGGCCAGAGCCTCTCCAGGAGCTGCCGGTTCAGCCTTCCGCTTCTGTTTCCGACTGGAATTCCCTTTTTCCGACTGACTCGGCTTGTGCTTGCCGCTTCGGAGTCGGTCTTCTTCTTCGCCGTTGGCGTACTTGGTAGCAATCTCCATCATACGACTCAAGGTCATGTCACCGGTTCGACCAAATTTCAAGCTGAGTTCTCTGTTCTTGACGCCATCTTTGAAGGCGCACACTGCCTGATGATCAGAGACATTTTCCACTGTGTGATGCAAAGTGATCCACCTCTGAATATACTCTCTGAGAGTCTCATTGGTTTTCTGCACGCAGACTTGCAACTCTGTCAATCCCGCTGGTCGCTTGCAAGTCCCTTCGAACGTTCTGACGAACACTCGGGACAGATCTTCCCAAGTGTAGATACTGCTAGGAGGTAATTGGGTCAACCATGCCCTGGCAGAACCTTCCAACATGAGGGGCAAATGCTTCATGGCCACCTCGTCGTTCCCACCACCGATCTGAACTGCCACTCGGTAGTCTTCAAGCCAAGTTTCAGGCTTAGACTCACCAGTGAACTTGCTGACTCCTGTCGCCAACCTGAAATTGGGGGGAATAACAGCGGCTCTGATAGCTCTGCTGAAACATTCAGGGCCAGAAACATGTACTCGACTGCTCGTGGGCACTTCTCTGTCGAGTGCACCACGATGGGCTCTGTTCCGGTCGACCAACCCTTGCACGATAATGGATCGCGCGTCGAAGCCTGGCTCTCTGGGGTCAACTGGAACTCTACGCCCTGTACTGTACTGACGCCTATCATCTGGCTGCCGAGGAGCGTAAGACCCACCCCTCGGAGGGGAATAAGGCACTCGACGCCTATCATCTCGGTCGAGCCTGTCGCCATATTGATCTCGCCGATGCTCATGCCCTTCGCGCCGCGGAGGCGATCTGGGGCTGTGAGCCGACTGTACCGTATTCACAGTGACAGATCGACTGTGAATCCTGTTGCGCGACTGAGACACGGCTGAATTCTGATCTCCTGCTGCCCGGAGCAAATCTCTGATCTGCAACAAACCTCTGCCAGCTTCTGACTGCGAAGGCTGAATGGACTCTGCTATACGGGTTGCAGCTGCTAAATTCTGAATTGGGGTTCGATATACCTGAGTCGGCGGGAAGAGTTGACGTCGACTGGTGTCGGGAACTCGTTGCCGCGCGCGCTCGTCGAGTGCTCGCTGAAGGTTCTCCAGTCGAGTGCGCTCGGCCAAATTGGCCAGACGCGCCTCCTCCAAGGCGCGAGCCTCGGGGGTTTCTCCTGCGATAGGAATACGCAGGGGATCCTCGTTCCTGCGGCAAAGCTCTTCTCTTTGCAGAGAGTCGAGTGGCTCGGGCTGGTACTCTTCGTAACCTCGAGCAGGGTCGCCGCCGTCGCCTGCTCCACCGCCGCGGGCGAAGCCGGGAGGGCTATGAGGCCCGTTGACCATCAGGATTTCCGCCGCTGGATCACTGCTTCTGCATTCGGATGTAGTCTCTCCGGAGCCAGTCGACTGATCGAACAAGCCGTAGAGAGATTCGTTGGGCTCGATTGCCGCAACTTGCGTAGTGGTCGACTGGCGAGCCACCGCGTGACTCACCCATCGCTGAAGCCTCGACCGACCTGAGCGCTTGCGCTGGCGGGAGGCCGGGAGGGTGGGAGGAACCGACCGATACTGGGTCGACGGTTGCCGCAACAGAACGCCGCGGACACATGCGCGAAAATGCATCGCACCGCGGACGGGGAGCGCATCAACGTCGAGCGGAGCCTCTTGGAGCCATGCGGAGTCGTCGGCGATGAAGGTGAGAGTGCCGAGACGGATCTCTTGACCCTCGATCAAAACTCCAGCAGACACCATGATGAAAATACTCGGAAGAATCGCAACTTCTCCACAAAATCGCTAAAACACCTGCCCCACGGTGGGCGCCAACTGTCGTGGTTCTAAGCCTGACAGTAGAGTGGGGGGTAGGTATTGAGAGGCAAGGTCCTAGCTATGGAGAGGTTGTAAGCACAAAGGATGTACGAGTTCAGGCCCTTCTCGGAAGAAGTAACAGCCCTACGTCTCGGAGCCCGGAGGCGGTCGAGTGGATTATGAACGTATGGATTACAAGATGCCGAACCCCTCTGCCTGTGGAGGGGGGTGGCTTATATAGAGTGTGCCAGGACCCCAGCCAGCCCACGTAGGAGAAGGGTTAAGGTGAGTTAAGTCTGGGGCGTTACTGGTAACGCCCCACATAAAGTGCCTTTACTATCATAAAGTCTACTTAATTACAGGCCGCTGCGGTGCAGAGTGCCTCTTGACCTCCTGGTGGTCGAGTGCGTCTTCGTGGTCGAGTCCTTCAGGCCAGTCGAGTGTGTCCTAGTTGGTCGACTGGATCCTCGTTGGTCGACTGGAAGGCGACCTCTTCTAGGGATGTCCTAGGGTAAGTTACTTGGGACAGGTCCGTGACCCTACCCTAGGTACATAACCCCATCAGTCACCGCGATCACCGCTCCCCCTCCAGAGCCACTGCCACCGGAGTTGTCGGAGTAGCGTGGCACCGTGTTGTTGTTGTAGCCGCGGCCGCCATAACCCCCACGATTGGAGTTGCCGCCGCGTCCTCCGCCTCGGGCTGCAAGGTTGGCAGAGTGGTTGGAGTGATAGGCGGCATTCTATGCCGCGATGCAAGCTTCAGCAGCGAGGAGCAGGGAGAAGAGTTCACCAAGGCCGATGGGTTGCTCAATGGCGGTGCGGGTCGAGAGGGCCGAGACGAATCCGTTGTAGTTGGGTTCGTGAAGCAGTCCCTGCAAGATGTGAGAGACAACGTCGTCTTCGTCCATTGCCTTGCCAGCAGCTTCTAGTTCGTCGGCGATGCTCACCATCTTGGTGTAGTACGCCGCCGCAGAGAGATCTCCGTTGCGAGTGTGCTCGATGGCGGACCGGAGCTGAATCACCCTTGCCCTTGACTGCGAGGCAAAGCTTTGCAGCAGGGCCTTCCAGAGCATGGTGGTGGTGGTGTGGGAGCTGACCTGCAGCAAGACCTCGCGAGACAGAGATGCAATCAAAAACGTGAGGACTTGCTGATCCTGAGTTACCCACACAACATATTCAGGGTTGGGCGTCGACACAATCTCCTTTTTCCCGGCGACGTCCTTCTTTGAGAGAAGCACGGCAGGGGGCTCCTTGATCGAGCCGTCCAAATAACCCATCATCCCTGCCGCCTTGGCATGCGACGGGATTTACGCCTTCCAGACGAGGAAGTTCTCCCGCGTCAGTTTCTCTGCAATGGTGGGGCCGAGGGAGGCGAGGGAGGGTACGGCCATGGCGACGGATGAGGAGCTCGACATAGCTAGATGCGTTGGAAGGAGGTTGCTCTGTATACCATGTGGAAAACGATGGATGAAGCGTGTGCCTTGCAGGGACGCCTTTCGTGTTAATATATAGATACAATTACAGGAGGTTAGGATGGCGTGGGTTGCACAACAAGAAGCAATCTCAACAATCGAAGAATCTAAACTAAGCCTTATCTCTACAGCCAATACTTATCGCTACAAACTGCATACGGTTTATACAATACTGTATGTTACATGTTTAACACGATGGATTGCAACAGGCCCTTGTGATGCCTGATATTTTCTTTGCCTTTCATGATAGTAATGGAAGTGTAGTACGCGGTTAATCTCCGGTCGGGATAGCACACCGTCACGCTTGGACACGCCCAGGAGCTTGTTTGGGATTGCGATGCTGGCTGACCCAACCCCGTCCAGCTCACCAGGACCTCGTCCGGAGGCGAGTCCAGGATCAATTGGTGAGTGAACTTGTGAGGAACAGACCGGGGAAGGAGATGCATGCACATGACACGTGGGCCCATGTTGTAAGTGACTGTATAAATCAATCCCGGCTGGGATAGTGCCTTCCTGTTACAACAAACAAGAGTTTGCTCATACGGGGTTTGGATTGATTGGGATCCGTAAATATAGGGTATCAACTTCAGGGATTCGAAGGTGAGGATTCATTTGTGTCGATCCCTGCAACCTGAGGGTTTGTTTCAAACTTCACTCAACCAAACCAAAGGAGGCCTAAGGAGGTGCTGAACTTTTCGGATGGTGGTCGCAAATTGAGACCTTCTAGGGCCTATTGGGTTCACATGAATAGAAAACATAGGAATGAAGAAAACCACAGGAATGAAATAGAAATTGAGGTGCAAACCAGAGGATTCAAAAACAGAGGAAAACTAAAGGAACACACGTTCGGCATAGCATAGGGAAAACGGAGGATGACTTCCATCGCCTGACACGAAAGAAACAACTTTGTGAATATTTTATTTGGCTGCATGGCTGTTCTCTCACGTGAAGCACCTAGTTGCCGCATAGTTTATTTGAAAAGTGACAGGTTTGCTCGACAAATGAGGTTCGACTGGATTTTCTTTTTCCTGAGGAATCGTGAGGTTTTATCAGTGTTCTGAAGGAACTGTAGCATCAATTCCTTCGATCTGAACGACTAGTTTGCTGAAATTCCTCTGAAACAAATAATCCTGTAGATTTCCCGTGAAAAATCCTTTGAACCGAACAAGGCCCTAGCATTATTCCCAGTCTCACATGCACAAGCACAGAAAGAAAGGTGCAACGTGCACCAGCTGCAAGTTTGCCTGGCCGAGCTATGAGCTATCTCATGGTCACCGTGCCCATAGACCCATACCACAGCGACGCAAAACAAAAGTGACGCCACATTTACTTCACAACTTTGCGCATTTGGAAACTGTGCGTGCGAGCTGGCAGCAGTCTTATTTCGTGAAAGAATCCACATTCTTGTGCACATCGTTGTTTCTGGCTAGTCCTCGTCGTGGTTAACACTGCACCAACCAAGCGCACGAATTTGTTCGACACATCGTCCGCTCCACTTCCAAGTGCCGCAACAATGGCGCTTCCAGTGACCGCGTGGCTGCTCCTCTCCTTCCTCCTCGCCGGGACGCCGGCCCCTGGCACCTGCGAGGAGCGTGGACGCGGGCGGGTTGCTCCAGTGCTACCCAGCGCCGGCGCCAACCAACGGCACCAACGGCACGGCGTTTCGCGCCACCCTGCTCCCGCTCCTCCGCTCTCTCCCCTCCGCCGCCGCGCACACGGGCTTCGCCTCCCTACATTCCGCCGCCCGCGGGGAGCGCGTTTTCGCGCGGGGGCTCTGCTTCGGCAACTCCACGGTCCCGTCCCAGTGCGCCCGGTGTCTGTCCGCCGCGGCTGGGAACCTCACCGCCGGCTGCGGTGCCACCAGCCGGCGCGCCGGCATCTGGAGCGACCGGTGCTTCCTCTCCTACGCCGACACCAACACATCCTCGCCTAGCGAGGACGCATTCCGCGCGCGCGTGCGCGTCCTCCTCCCGGGCGACGACGCCGTCCCTCGATCTGCGGCCAGCACCAAATCCTTCTACTACGCCCACCTGCACGATGTACTCGTCGCCATGGCGAAGGACGTGGCGCGGCGCGCGGCCGCAAACATCTCCAGGCCGCGGATGCTGGCCACAGCGGAGGAGACCAACTCCGACAGCGCGGTGAGCAGAACAGTGCACGTTCTGGCGCAGTGCGGGAGGGACCGCACGGCGGCGGACTGCGTCCGGTGCTTGCAGGACTCGGTGCAGGCCGTGGACTGGGACCTCCACGCTGCTCACAGCGACGGTGGCGTGGCGGCCGCGGTGATGGGCTTCGACTGCTACCTACGGTTCGAGGTCTCCACTGCAGTGGGTGACAACTATGGCAGTAATTGTGAGTTCTCTTGATCAATTTTTCTCTCTCGAAAGCTTTCAATTTCTTCTCACGGACAAAAATAGGCTGCATATTTTTTTTTCCAAAACGTCTCAATGAGAGAAACTAATACTCCAGATTTTGTTTTCCGACAGTTATGCTACTGGCGTTCCTCGTGATGGATATGTTGGCAGGAGTCTTGTGCGCGTTTACTTGTGCTGTTGCCCCGTGAAGAAAAGAGAGATGGATGAAGCAACCACATGTACGTTATTTATCGTCCACTGATTGCCTAAACTCAAATTTTGTTACACCGATGATCCAAGACCCGAGATGCAATAAAACCTTATGTTCCAATTCATTTTCTTACGTACTCGGTACATATCTTAATTATGTGCAGAGGGCCAGCACGCATGTACCAGGTTGCAAAGATAATCGGAGCAAGCTACATCAACTCCGGGGCAACAAGAGGGGCGATCAAGTGAGGCTGTGTGCATAGGCTCAGGGCTTCATTTTTTCTTTCGGTCACCTTTCCATTTTTGTTAGTTGCACAAAACTATCATATTCATGGTTAGGTTTGTACGAACAGTTCTGCTAAGTCTTAATCGACTAAGACTTCGTCATGCCTCAGTCAATACTATCTCCCTTTGATTTTGCATGAAGATTCGTGCAAACAAATTCTTCCCAGTTTTCTTTTTTCTTCTCATATCATATGCTATATCACTTGACTGGGGTCGACAAAGACCTAGCCACAGCCTTGTAGAAAACCACCTCTCATGCCTAATATCTTGCGAAGGCTACTGCATATAAGTAATTCTTTTGCAGAAAACAGTGATTGTTCATTTTGGCTCGTTTAAGCTCGCTTATGACAGATGGGATCAAATCGTTAGAGCTGACTTGGCAAAAAAAAATCCACATATATGCGTTGAATAGCGTACTATATCTTCTCCAATATCTTTGACATAGACACCCTCGATCAAAATACAAAAATGCTGAATAGTCTAAACACAAAAATATCTTCATGTCATTTTATAAAAAAAAATCATACAATGGTAAAGATGTCTTGTAATTTATCAAACATATTTTGTATCATTCAAGAAAAATGTTGCGGTAAAAACACTTAGAACTTGGAAGCCCACGAGGAAATTTAGGATGAGAAATTAGGAAGAGATGGGCAATTCTTATTCCTTGGGACCCGTGTCGATCTTTTTTTAGAAGAGGTATGATTGTCCGCCAGGGCTATTTCTCGCCTACAACAAGTGTTAGAATAAATCCGAGGCATATCGTTGATCATCCGAGGGCCGAGCAATCACACGAGCACGACACCGAGATTTATTAACGAGATTCACCGATATGGCTATATCCTCGGGGTCTGAGTATGGGCGCTCCTCCCCATGACACCGTTACAATACCACACCAGGTCGCCCTGGACGCCGGCACATGCCGCCGGCTTCCCCTGCGTTCCGGTGCATTATGTTGGCATAGGTTACATGGTGTGTGTACCCCCACTATATATGAGAGGCCTAGAATACAAGTGTCCTATTAGAACACGACTTCATATCTTATCTAAACACAATACAACTACAAGTCCAACTGTAACCTACCTTGTACAATAATATTCGACACAACGCTAACAAACTTCACCTTGGCGAATATTCTCCACCACCTTGAGTTCGTAAATGCATCAAACTTCCATGTACATTGGACTTGAGCTTATCCCATGAGTACCGCTGCTACTTCGAAGACTCCATATGACTCCACCTCAACTTGTAGTCCCTCCTTTTCTTGACCACAGTCAACACTCGAGCAAAATAAAGTTCCTTGTTACTCTAGTTTGCGCTCCCAACTTTCAGAGTATCCGTCCAACGCAATCACACTGATCACTGGCCTGCGTGAAAATGAACAACTCACATGTGGGGTGTCACACATAAGAGTTATCTGAACTCAACATCACCGCTCCTTTCTTGACCGCCTGTCTGAAACTTGAAGGAATTTCACCATTGCTTGTAGTCATCCTGAGTCATATTCGCAGTTGTCTCACCACATGTATGACCACCAGAGCCCTGGACTCTCCATGTCCCGTGCATACCACACACCTCGCCTCTATTACCGCGTCGAGTCTCTGATGTCCTAGTCGAGCCTCAAGGGTCGAGAACCCACACCACTCAACCCCCATTGCAGAGTACCATCGATCATCACCGGCCGACGACGAGTTTCACGGTTTCATCAGACCACTGGGCTCCAGTCCGAACCACGCGTCACCCGCTTTTTCCCGCTGAAATAGGCTTCGATTCTCTAGATCCTTACACCGTAGCCCCTCAATCCAGCTCCACCTTCAACAAGACTCCATGGAGATGATCAGTTCACCCTCACACCCCGTCGAATTCCGGCTCTCGTGTGCACCGTCTTGAATCAACCCCGCGTCAGAGCCTTGTCGAAGCCACACAAGCACTCGGGCCTGTGCCACGTGTTTCCACGCCCAGCAGTCGGTCACCATCAGCATCACGCTCCTATGTTGCTGTCACCGATCCCACCACTGTCTTCTGTTTCAACCGACTCACGTCGATCCGTCAGACTATCTAGTCTGACCCAGCTGAACTCGTTCGACTATACGACACGCTCGAGGCTTCCAAATCGTCTTACACAATTTTCCATCACATGATAATTCCATCTCAGCTGACATGGCTTCCCGCAACACTTTCAAGCATCTCTGTTGTGCCATCAAAACTTTCCAGTCTTGTCTACCATAATCCAAGGTTTCTAGTCTCATCGAACTTCTTCACCTCAAATCTGGTACCCGTTGGCGCCATGATTCTTTGTATGACTGGCCTGTGAAAAATTATCCAAGCTTTCCACGCGATGCCCCAAGTACACGAACAACCTCCGCGTACTATTAGCAATTTCAGCCAAAAAATCCTCTGGTCCTCACATGTAATAGCTACTAGGCTCTCAACTCATGGTGCTAGCTTTTGCCTTGCCACAACCTTGTTATTTCCAATGGATGTGAATCATGTATCAATGGGTTTCCTTCGCTGATTCGATCAGCTGCTGCCTCTTTCCGTGTTGTACACGAGGACCCGGTCCTCTTTTTTTCCCAAAACAAGTCAGATACGTCTTGTAGCTTCCAGCATCTTTCTAGCCTTGCACGCCCGAGCCTTGGATTCAAGTGAGACGCACTACGTGGGCTGCGCCCCTTGCTGCCCGCTAGGCTTCGGTCATGCGTGCGTGTCTGCACTGCGCCTCTGCGTGCCCTGGCACTTCGGCCGTGTGCGCCGCCGTCGCTTGCTCGCACATGCCCCAATTAATCCGACTCCGCCGCTGCAATACGCTCGCCCGATTGATCCGATCGCCGCACGTCTTGCCTGATGCTGCTACACGAACACACGCCTTCCAATCGCTTTCTCTAGATCAACCATCCACAACCTCAAATCAAACCTTACTCATGATACAACTTGTTAGAATAAATTCAAGGCATACCGTTGATCATCCAAAGATCAAGCAATCACATGAGCACGACACCGAGATTTGTTAACGAGGTTCATCGATATGGCTACATCCCTGGCGCCTGACTATAGACGCTCCTCTCAATGACACTGCTACAATACCGTACCCTGTCGCCCTGGACGCCGGCATATACCGCCGGCTTCCCCCGCGTTCCGGTGCTATTATGTTGGCATAGGTTACATTGTTTCTGTTGGAAAAATGAGCAATTTACCGAATGATTTTATTAACAGAAATACTAGATAAAGCATGACTAATATAGCAGTGATAAAACAAGTCATGCGATCGGATAGAGAGAAAGTAAATAACATATGCATATATGAATTGTAACCAAACATATCTAGAGCAGACAATATAGCTAGTTGCATATATGAAATAGAGCCAAACATATTTAGAGCAGACAGTATAGCTAGTTGCATATATGAAATAGAGCCTAACATATCTGGGGCAAACACTAGAACAAGGAACCGTGATAGGACCGCTAACAGGAAAAACAAGAACACGTACGGGACAGCAGTAGGAGCAGAAGCTCTGGACTTGGGGTCGACATCCTCGCTAGCCATGTCGTCAAAGAGGTTGTCGACGTCGGGGAAGAAGTCGTCGTTGGAGAAGTGGTCGTCGGTGTCCGTGATGAACCGGTCAGTAGTCGCGCAGAGCGGTCCCCAAAAACCTTATCACCCTTCTCCAGTACAGGACTCAAAGAGGTGCGGTTTCGAAGGCCTACTGTCCCAACCTGTGGTGCACGCCGCAAGCTGGGATGAGGAAGATTGTAGCAGCAACGCAGTGCTCAGGAACTGGTGGCGAGAGGAAGTAGTTCTGGTGCGTCTCTCCGAGAGGAGCGACCTCCCTTTTATAGGCGCAAGAGAAGGAGGCGAGAGGTGAAACGAAGAGAGGGAGACGAAGCGAACGGACTTCAACCAAAGAGACGCGCCGTTCTGATTCAGTGTCCACTACAGAAAAAAGTTTCAGCTCCCACATGACCTTTCGTATACCCATCGTGCGTGGCAAAAATTTAGACATTGGCTCGGCTCATTCCTGCGGCGCGGTGCCGCGCGTCGTGACGAGGCGTGGCGTGGTGAGGCGGGCGGTGGAGGAGGAGCACGCGTGGATGTCCCTCTTGTTCTCATCCTTATACATGTGGGGAAAGAACCTCCCTTATAAAGAGGTCCAACTTCCTCTAAACTAGCAATGTGGGAATAAACTTTAGTTCCACCACTGGTGGAAAAAGGGCCTTTGGTCGCGGTTCGCAACTGCCATTAGTCGCGGTTGCGCAACCACGACCAAACAGGCGCGACTAAAGGCTCCCCCCCTTTAGTCGCGGTTGCTTAAGAACCGCGACTAAAGGCCCGTCCACGTGGGCGCCAGGCGGCCGTCGGGGCGGAGGACCTTTAGTCGCGGTTCTTCTGGCCAACCGCGACTAAAGGCCGCCGCAAGTTTAGGGTTTTAGCCCCCCCCCCCTAAACCTGTTTTCTGTTTAATTTGTATTGTTTTATTTCTTTTGTGCTTTATTTTAATTTTGAAGGAGTTTCACATATTC